AACTTTCTTGTGTTTAGAAAAATCCAAGCAATTTTGGGTGGTCGTATTCGTTTCATACTATCTGGAGGCGCTCCGCTTTCTGGTGACACTCAACGATTCATCAATATATGTCTTGGGTATAATAAAACCAATCATAGCATATTCTCTGAATTTTGTTATTTCTAATTACATGACTTTTACTCTCTCTCTGTCTCTCTCTCTCTCTCTCACACACACACACACACACACACACACACATTCACATTCACATTCATTCATTCAAGTGGCTTTGGATAGAGCAATAAAGCAAATAGCTTAAATTAAAATTCCATATCTTCAACAAAAGAATTTTCAGAATATAACATTAAGCAAAATATAGATTTTCGAAATAGTATATATGATTGTGTCTCTCCAAATGAGTTAACAATTGAGTCAAAATCTCTGTGCTCAATATATCATATCTCTCAGCACTGCTGGCTGAAACAACCTTTCTATTTTCTTGGAATCTGTATATTTTAAAATAAATTATCACTTTTAAGTTATAACAATTACAGATTTTGTGTGTAAATGTCTTATCAATATTGCTAAATTTTTTTTGTCACATTTGGTGCGACGATTGGATAGGATTGGACAATATCATGGAAGGCAAAAAAAAAAGTTAAAATCTTGTTCATTATACTATCCAATCATGTCAAATATTGTGTACTAAACATGCCCTTTAAATTTGAGCTAAAGTGTAGCTTCTAAAGAGCCTTTCCTTTTCCTTTCCATGACTGAACCATTGAAACACAGAACATTACCTTTTCTATGCCGTAGAAATATTGCGCTACATTGCAATTTTACACCCTACTGTGATTCTCTATACAGGAGGTTCTTAAATTTTCCCGCCTTGTGCTATGCCTCTCATTGTAACCTTCTTGTTCATTATACTGTTCAATCATGTCAAATATTGTGTACTAAACCTGCCTTTTGAATTTGAGCTAAAGTGAAGCATCTAAAAATGCCTTTCCTTTCACAGAACGGTACCTTTTCTATGCCGTAGAAATACTGCCCTACACTACAGTTTTACACCCTACTGTGATTCTCTATACAGGAGGTTCTTATTTTTTTCCCGCCTTGTGCTATGCCTTTCATTGTAATCTTTCATTGTTCATTGTTCTCAGTGTTCCAATAGGACAAGGATATGGTCTTACTGAAACCTGTGCTGGTGGAACATTTAGTGAGTACGATGATACTTCTGTTGGTCGAGTTGGCCCTCCGTTACCTTGCTCATTCATCAAGGTAAAATGTATGCAGTTGCATTTCACTTCAAAATTTCATTCATGTGTTTCCAGTAGGCATAATTTTTTCGTCTTGTATGAAAGATAAATAATTTTTGTGCTGGAGTATCGGATTGCTAATGTTAATTCTTTACTTTTAAATAGCCAGACAAATAATGAAATGTTTTATGTATAAATTATCTCTAAATTTCAGTTGGTAGATTGGCCTGAGGGTGGATATTTAATTAGCGATTCTCCTATGCCACGTGGAGAAATAGTTATTGGTGGACCAAATGTTACTCTTGGATATTTCAAAAATGAGGAGAAAACAAAGGAAGTGTACACGGTAAATAATTTGAAATTTTGTGCTTGCATTTTTGCATCTTACACTGACAAAGAGCATGTTTGGCTGCGCTTCATAAGTTTTCTTGGTAGTAAATAAGTAACTTTTTTATTTTTTAAAATTGGAAATAATCAAGTTACTTATTTTGATAGTGAAAGTAAACTTATCCAAATATGTTTGGAAAATAAAAGTAGCTTTTACTTATTTTAAAGCTTACCATGTTTATCTTTTGAAGCAAAGGTTGATGAGAAAGGAATGAGGTGGTTCCATACGGGTGACGTGGGACGATTCCATGATGATGGTTGCCTTGAGATTATTGATCGTAAGAAAGACATCATTAAGCTTCAGCATGGAGAATATGTTTCTCTGGGAAAGGTACAGATTTTATGTACACTTGCAGTTTGTATGTTTAGGACAAGTTAAATACATTGTAGTTCACCCACTAATACCCCCGTTTAACTTTTGTCACCGTAGTTGAACATTATTTTTCGTTTCGGTTTAAGTACTCTATCTTATTGAACTAACGAACATGCTTACGTGGCATGGAAAATTCAGTTTCTGCATGATTTTTGTTGTCCAAACTTACTAAAATTGTGTCTTGTGGGACTTTTCCATTTTTCCCCCTCTAATTTGTTTTTATTTTATTATAAAAAAGCTCATTTTAAATTACAGCTTGTTCAACAACATGCATTTTTGCCTGGTTGGATGATAAAATTATGTGCTCACAAACTTTCATGCCATGTCATCATTTCTGTTAATTCTGTAGGCAGAATGCCTTAACTACAACTAAAATAAAGTTCAGAGACTTACTTGGAACAAAAATGTGGTGCCTAAAGTATACTATTAGTATCAGAATTTTCTCGGATATAATTGGTTTTTTCTATACAGGTTGAGGCTGCTCTAATTATCAGCCCATATGTCAACAGTATCATGTTGCATGCTGATTCATTTCATAATTACTGTGTGGCCTTAGTGGTAGTAGCTCAGGCTTCTGTAGAAGCATGGGCTTCAAACAATGGAATCGAATATTCTGATTCTTCAGACTTGTGCCAGAAAGAAGAAACTGTCAAGGAAGTCTACTCTTCGTTAGTTAAGGTACTTATCTTGATTATTAATTGACTTTACCTAGGTTGAAAATATGGTGTTGAGGGATTTCTCTTATTAAAGAATTAAGCTTGCACGTACAATATCATTGTTGGGTTAGTAGCTAACATAATTTTGTCGTTTTTGTGAAAAATATTATTACAAGAGATTGCAAGCTCCACTATGAATGAATTCCCTATGATGTCATTGAAAATGAGAAACAAAGTGTTTGTTTGGTAGTACTTTTAAGTGCTTATAAGTTGTGAGTCCTATGAAATGTTGATAATAATTGGGTAAAAAGTTGTGGGTCCTAAAAAATGTATGGATAAGAAGATGTTTGACCATCTTCAATTATTTTGCTAAACATGCTCCTCTTATTCGTCTAAACTTTTTTTTATTTTATTATTTTTTTTGATTTCACAGGTCGAGTAAATGCTTTATTTCATTTTACGTTTTACAGGCCGCGAAGGGTGCTCGACTGGAGAAGTTTGAGATTCCTGCAAAGATCAAACTGCTTTCAGAAGCTTGGACTCCTGAATCTGGGCTTGTCACTGCAGCTCTCAAGATCAAGAGAGAGGTTGTTAGGAAAACCTTCTCTGATGAACTTGCCATGCTATATTCGTCATGATAGATGAAAAAATTACCCTTTGTTGCAGTGTGTGCAGAAATCTTGAATTTCCGATGAGTTATTTTTGTTTTTAATTTCAATAACCGAGAATTGCACATCTATACTTGACTTAAATTTTGTTTCTGCAGCTTCTGTTTATTCATTAATTCTTGGGCTGTTTTGTTTCTTCATTTTCTAGGCGTTACTTTTGTTTTTGAGTTCAAGTTTCATTCTCATTCTTGAGAATCTAGCATGCATGTGAGAAAGCATGTGAATATTAATGTTGTGGTTGTTCCACATAGATTGTGAAAGGGGCTAATGGTCAGTTTATAAGTGTGAGGGAAAGTCTTATCTCTTGAGTTAGCTTTTGAAATTGAGAAGGTCCAATACTATTCAACACTGTTATTAGAGCCCAAGTTATCAACAAATTGCAGGCCCAACAACCATGGAAGATGCGGGTTTGTGTGAGGGGGAAACATGTTTGATCTCACCCATGGCCTGTTGTATGTGGGGGAGCACGAGGATTTTCAACAAATAGAGCCTTGTCAAGCATAATTATCATATTTTAATTGGGGTTTGAATGCTTGAGGTTGGTTAAATTTATGCGACTTTTTAAAAGTACTTATTTATGAACTAATAAAATATATGTACGGTACTTTCAAAATAGAACGGAAAAGAAGGTGAAAAAAGAATAAAAAATCGAAATTGTATTTTAGTTAGAAGATTTGATTTCATTTGATCTCTCAATAGATTTAATCGATACATCAAATGTAGTGATAACATATATTTTTATGTTGTTTACTGAATCTTGACCAATGTATTAAACCCATTATTAAAGTATAATACTATCCAAAAATGTTGCTTCTTATTTTTTCTAAGGCTACAAAATTGTAACTTTGATATGTAGGTATGCATCCAATCTCTAGATAAAAGTGTGTTGAGACTTTATATTTTAATAAAGAGTTTTTCTTTTTGCTTTAGAAGATTGGGTCCTAAAGTCATAGAATCAAAGGGGAAAGGAAGTAGCGGGTCAATTGCAAGGAAACGGTCCGTTTGGGTCAGCTAGCTGGTCAAATAACAATGGAATGATTCAGTCAGCATAAGATAAAAGGAGAATAGAGGTGTTAAACGGTTCGACTCATATTGTAGTTTGCACCCAGCATTATGAGGCTGGTCCGGCCCTTGCCGGGTCATCCGAGCAACTATTTTCTTGTTTTTTGACATTTCACGACTGCGTGCATTCATCCGCATGTCGAGAAATGAAGACGAGGCTTTTGAGCCACTTGATTTTTACTATATTTTCTTGAAATGAAAAACATAAATTAAATGGTCTGCATGACTCGAGGCACATACCCAACATATCTAGAAAATGCGACTAGCCACCTGAGCCTTGTCACTCCACAAAAATGTCTGCCTCGTGTTGACATGCCCTATCAAGTAACTAGGATGGAAACAAATTAACATGGTCTCTACCTTGACTGTCAAGGATTAAAATAAAATTTTTAGTGAATTCTGATAAAAGTTGGCGAAATATATGATTAAAAAATTATGGGTCCCATCAAATGTGATTAAAATTAATTGTTAATTTTGATTTAGATTAAAATTAAAATTAAAATTAAAACTTTCTACCAATAGGGGCTTAGATTATACATCACTATGAAAAGGCAGACTGTTCTTTTCAAAGCACTTAAAGTTCGTTGCCTAAAGTACACCACCATACCTACATATCTCTTCACCTCTTCTCACTTCAATTTTCTCTTGTTAGTTTCTTCTTGACCCTCCACCTTCACCCCCACCCCAAAACCCACCTACCACCCAACCCAAAAAAAAAAAAGAAAAAAGAAAAAATAAATAAATTCAACCACATGGGATTCTGCTATTTTCATCCCAAAGAGGAAGTTGTAGGTGTATGTGCCTTGTGCTTGAATGAAAGGCTTCAAATTTTAGCTTCCAAAAAGGGCTATCTTCACAGAACTTACAGTCACAAAAAGACTCAAATACCCCTGCCAAAGCTTTTTGCTCTAAGCAATCTTCTTAATCGCCTTGATATTGGACAACAAAAATCTGAGGGTAATTGTGGCAGTTCATCTGGCAGTCAAGAAGGTTAGTGTTCTTCACTTCCTCTGTGTGTGTGTGTGTTTATTTTTATTTTTTCGTTTTTAGATCTTATCTTTATATTGGTTTTGAATTTGATACATAAAGAAAAGATCACCAGTAGTAGTACATAAAGAAATGAATAAAAAAAATAAATTGGAAATTGGAAATTCGTTGTTAATCCACCTCATCTAAAGCTTTAAGATATTCGACTTGTTATACTCCACTAAGATAATTTCTATACATAAATATTACAACATACATGCCGTCCCGGTACATTTTTTAACAAATCTGCACGTTTCTTAGGGTTAGCAAGTAAGAAGATGTCAATACAATTTTGATACCTCAACGCATTACGTTATGACATCTTCCAAATTTTTAAAAAGAAGTGATGCGTCGATATGTCAAAAATATATTAGAGTACAATAAATTCGAGAAAGTTGATTTCAACTCTTTAGTTTTTATGTAATAGTGTGCAAGTGGAATCATGAATTTATTTTTGCCTTCATTTTAAGGCTTCATTCCTTTTCTCATTATTGCCTTTGATGTGTCAAATATAGAATTGGATCTTAAGCAAATTACAAAATAGATTTCACCAAATCGACCCTAAATTTATTAAGATCTAGGGTTGTTTTTTATGATGTAACTATTCCTATATTAACCTAGTTTATCAGTTTTTTTTTTCCTTTTTTTTTTTCTTTTTTTTTTCAAGATTTTACAATCTATGTCAAAAATTGTGACAAATTGCAGACTCTTTCATATCAATCAAGTTTGAAGACAATGGTGAAATGTCTTGGAACAAAAAATGGAGTAAGCCTAATAACAAGATAAACAGTGTAGCTATAGAGCAATCGAAACCACGCACAGCACTGAGGTGGCAAAAACGGATTGGCAACTTATTCCAGCTCATCAAATGGAAGAGGTCCAGCAAAGGAAATGTGTGCCACGTGGGCACAAAACTAGACAGGTCAAAGGTTAGATATGGATGGATAAGGTCATTGAGAAAGAGGGCTGAAGAATAAAGGGTTATGTACACAAAAAGAAAAAGAGAGTTTTGAGCTTTTTATCCAATACTCCCACAATATTTTGTTTGTAGGAGCAATGGCTTAATGAAAATGCAAATTGATGAAAGTATATAAAATAAGATTGTATAGTTAAAATGGGTTTTGGGTCGACCATGTCGGTCAATTCAAATTCTTCAGAGAAGCGGGATATGGTTAGGTGTGAATGTGAGTGCTTTATTTTGAAATTTCAATTTTTATTTCTTAATACTACTCTTAAGCTACGATGATATTTGGTCGTTTAAAATCTAATCAGATAAGGAAGGAGAAGACATGTACAATTAAGTGTGTTTACATTTTTACCCTAGTTAAAAATGTCACGCCCGCCTCATATATATGGCCATGATCAGATTTATGGGTGAGGACAATATGATAATTAATGGAAAGTTGAAGTTAAAAATATAACAAAAAAGAGTTGGGATAAAGTGCAACAAAGGGCAAACATTGGGGACAAGATCTGTAGTTTAGTCAAAAATATATTATGTTTTTGTATGATTGAAGCTAACTTCCGTAAGAGATCGGAAGTTGAAGTTTTAATGATGCAGAGATATTTTAGATATTCAATAAGTAGAATGGGAGTATCCATCAAGCGAGTTAAAAATACGAGAATACTTTATCTTAAAACATGAACTTTTAAAACTTCAAGGACGTATTTCGTACGAATTAAAACACTCTGCTAAACAGTATTATAAATAAAATTTTAATTTCTTTCTTTTTTCTTAAATAATTTCCAAAACATAAAATGTATAGGCACTTTTGCAAGAAAATGGACATGAATTGATGCTCCACTCTAAGGAAACAAAGGAGGCAGAAGGGCCATTCATATTCTGGTAGATCTTGTCCACTAGTTGTCTTGAAGGGAAAAGAATTTGCTTTTTCTCCAAAAGAATTCAATTGGCATAAAATGATAAAACATGCTGTTGTCCCCAAAATAATTTGGAGTATGTTTCAAGTGCAAAGATTTTTAATCATAGAAGTTGCTTTTTATCTCCATAGGTGCACACTGGCATGCATGTGCAAGGAACTCATTGGTGCCCTTTGTTTACTTATCTCAATAGTATCCTAGAAGTTTTTATGGCCCGTCTATTATATAATACTGAATATGATTAAACAGTTAAATGTCATATTTTAGTTTTAGTTTTTTTTTTTTAGTATGATTTGGTCCTCTTAAATAAACTTGCCCGTTAGTACAATGGACAAGTTTTCTTCTTCCTTGATTGAGTGTTACCTAACCAAAGTATTAAATTTTGGAAAAATTTCATAAGTGAGAGATAAAGTATGGTAAATTTCAAAATTAAGAAAACAAGTTTCACAATTCAAAAATTAGATTTTTATTAAAATTTATTTATGATTTAATTAATTTAATATATTTAGGTCACATTTTTTTGGCACAGTTATCTAATTAATTAGTCACGAATTAATTTTTAATCACAGCTTATCAAATTATTGGTCGTAACTTATTTCTTGATCACAGATCAAAAATTTTATAGGTCACAAAATATTTTTTGATCACGAGTCCAAAAATTTTAGAAGTTACAGATTATTCATCGGTCACATATCAGATTAATTTTTAATCACAACTTATAAAATTATTAGTCGTAACTTATTTCTCGGTCACAGATCAAAAATTTTACAGGTCACTGAATATTTTTCGATCACGAATCCAAACATTTTACAGGTCACAGATTATTCATCGATCACATATTTAAAACTTTTATTGTTCACAATTCATTTACTCATTCAAAATTATTGAATTAATTGGTCACGGTTAATTTTTCGGTCACAACTCAGTCCATTGTGAGTTACAATTTTCAAGTCACACATCCAATTGCGAGTCACAAGTCACAATCGAGAGTCAGAGGTATAGTCACAATTTTTAGCACCACCACATGTCCACCAGCATCTCATCATTACTGTCGCACGACAACCACAACTCTTTGATACATAAAATATCATACATGAAGAAGGCATCCTTCTTTAATTTTGAATTACCTTGTGACAACTCTAAATCGAAAGTTCATTGCCTAATTGAGATATAATTTTTTATTTCTTTATTTGGGGTCCACGATGTGAATCGAAATAAATAAATAATTTCTCTATTTTATTTTCTCAACTTAAAGGAAGATTACAATCTTAAGATTTGTGTTAATTTGAAGCTAGCATTTTTTTCCTCTTGAGCATAGCTTTTGACGATTAAAGAAATTATATCTTCTTGACCACTATCACTATTCTCGTCTTAGATTGGAGTCTCATTATCCAGTCAATATTTATTTTATTTTATTTCCTCGATCTAAGTTGAATCTCATAAAAAATCATACGTACTTGAAAACTTTATTAAGTTCAGTTTTTATTTGAAAGCATTTTAAAGTTCAGTGAGTAAAGTGCGATGGAGTTATAAGTTCAATAACTAATAAAACATTGATAAGTGAAATGGTGGAGTGCAACATACTAAAATTAAATTATCAATGAAATTTTTTTGAAGTTTAGTGACTTACGAACACATAGTTAGTGAGTAAGTGGTGAACTGCAACATATTAATGTTCAATAATCGCTGGAAAGCATTTTAAAGTTTAGTGAATAAAGTGTGACAAAGTTATAAGTTCAGCTACTATGAAACATTTTACACGTCAAATTTCAATTAGTTCACTTTCTATTCATCATCTTTCATAGATTCCTTGTATGCAAATGCAATTCACCTCTAGATTTTTCTAGTTTTATCAATTAAACCTACAAAGATTTTTATTTTTATAAATGAATTATCGCCACACATTTGATAATGCCCTAGATCTGATCATCAGCTCCCTATGGACCATATCCCTGACTTTCCATTGTAAGAGAGAGTTTTAAGAGTTCAGTGCATTTCTGCAACATCGATCCAAAGAATTCAACGTGTCTTTGTCGAAACCATGAGTTGGAACTCCTCCATCAAACGCTAAAGTAGTCACTGTTGGAATATTGTGGTGATAATGAAACCAGATTATCACATACCGTATATGTAATTTAGGTAACAATTTTAAGCGTACCGTATATGCATATACCGTATATGTCGCTTACTGTATTTGCAGTTTATCATATTTGCAGACAACTTACCGTATTTGCAGTTTACCGCCTACCGTGTTTGCAGAAAGCTTACCGTATTTGCACAAAGTTTTCACGAACTGTTTTTATTCCATTTCATATACTATGAGTGATTTTACATATATTTGTTAGATACCGTATATGAAACTAACATACCGGATATGCACTTACATACGCCAAAATGTAAAAATACTAAATTTGCATATATTATCTAAATAAATACCGGTTGGAAAACTACCAAACCGAATGTTATCAAATTAATTAATTTTCTTCAAAAAAATTTCCGACATACTTATAATAAACTTTAAAATTATATGAAGCACATAATAAAATGAACTGAAAAATTTACGAAGCATAAAATTAAACTGCAAGTAAATTTCAAATAAATCTACAAGAATAAATCGCAAATATGTGAATTGTAAAAAATAAATAACTTTACAACTCAAGGACTGTGTGAGCACAGTTTTCTTAAAACAGATTCGTCCCCTCACCGTGAATGCTTATGGTTTAATCCGAACGTTTGTTTCCCAAATACAATGATAAAACCCGTAGAATCTGAGCACCACAGAAATTACTCCGACGAATTGATTTAGTGTCTGAACAATATCACTACGACCTTACTGGACAGATATGTGTATGCAAGAAACTACGACCCTATTGGACAGATGCAGATATCCGAACAGTGCAGAGAGGGAAGAGAATGATTTTTTCATCTGAGAAAATTGCTGAAAACTGAGTGTAATTATATAGACTTAATTTGTCCATTAACTATTGGAGTTAGATAAGTTTCTGGAGTTTCAGAAACTCAAAAGTCAGTGGAGAAAGCAAGAAAAAAATTGCAAAATATAGGCTCTCCAAAGGGGCCAATTTTTGTTTCGTTCGGTCCAACATTCGTGTACGCAGGTTGCGCCTGCACACAAGTTCAAGGTTCGAAGGCAATTTCGGCCTGAGATTTGTACCCCCTGCATGCGCACGTGGAGAGAGTCTCTATGCTACACATGATTACAGATTTTCAATGTATAATTATATTTAAAGTGGTTCTTGCTTTCATATTTTTCCTATGTAGGACCAAACTCATTTTTCCTACATAAATCATCTTTCAATAGTCATCTTTGAGCTCTACTTTCTCATTCACCCAAGCTTTTATTTTTGGCAAATAAATATATGATTTTGATGCTCTCACGGAGGAGAACGCGGATCAACTTTGATCTTTTAAATTGAATCAATGGGTCCCATCAAAAATTTTGCCAAAAGTGAGCCATTTACTTATTTTTTCCAACAATCACAAACAACGCCATGCAACACAGAGATGAGGAAGAAGAAGATGGATGGTGTGGAAGAAGAAGATGAAATATGTTTTTCTATTTCTTTTATTTAATTAGTTTAATTATTTTTTAGTTAGGATTCATTGCAGTTTTTGAAAAATTTGGGGTTATGGATTAAATTAGATATTTTTTTATTTATTTAAAGAGGATGGTAAAAGAACAAAAATGTTGTGTTGCATAACGTTTAGGTGATTTAGGATAGTATTGCGCCAAAATGAAAAAATTAAATTATATTTTACAAAATATGCAATTACCCATTTATATTTTTAACGAGTAAACGAGGTGCAATTGGAATATTTTATTTTCTGCCCAATCCCCAGTCTTACTAATCTCCGTAGTGTCGAGCCATTCCATTGTCATCGCTAACCTGGATACAGAAAGGGGCTGCTGAGTAACAACTAGGCCCAACGGACCTCATCAGACCCAAAGTAACTGGACCATAAGTGGACCTTGAAATTAATAACAAAAAAAGTGGAAATCATATAAAAGCCTACCTTTAAAGATCCCATTTCACAAATCATAGGCAAAGTTTACTCTTTCAAAAATCAGATTTTTTTTATTAATTAGTATATTTAAACATTAGTTAATTAAAATTTTGATAATTAGATTTTGTTACATCCCCACCCACTTCTCCCCAAACCCTAAATCTTATTTCCTCCCCTTCCCTTCCCCATCTCTCTATCTAGAAAGCTCTGTGACAAACACTCGAAGGAAGATGCCACGATAATGCCACTGTGGTGGAGTGAACGATGCTGCGGTGATGTCACTCACGCCACTACAATGAAGTGACCACTGCACATCGTCCACTGGCTATTGATTTATCTTCAAACGATGTTGCTTCTGGTTCTTCTCCTAGCACAAGCTACTTTGATTCCACGAGAATCGTCGGTGCTACATCGCTCGACGTCAACAATGATGCCAGTGATTTTACTTTTGATTTTGGATCTGTCGACGATGATGCTAGTGATTTAACCGGAGAATCAATGGTTTCCTTTTAATTTTAGATCTGTGGTTTGGCTGTGGTCTGCGGAGGTGATGACGCTAGCAGTGATAGTTAGGTGGAGGTGGTCCCTGGTGGTGCTGGTGGGTGATGTAGCGGGTGCTTTGTGTGTGGGATGGCATTGGTGATGCTCGATCTCGTCATGGTTGCTGCAAATCGAAGTCAGAGAAGAGAATGGGTAGTTGTGGTTGTTGGTGGCGACGACAACGGTGTCGGTGGCGGCGACGACTATGGCGGCGGAGGAATGGGACAAACTATGTAGTGGTTACGATGGTGGTGGCAATTCATTGGTAAGTTGCGGTGGTTGTGTTGCAGGTGTTAATTGTGGTGGCACAGGAATTGGCTTTGGTTCTGGTATGTTGGAATGGCAATGGTGGCGATGATTTGTTGGTGGTTGGGCAAATTTTTTTTTTTTTTTAAAAAAAATTTTTGGTTGACTATTTTGTTGGTGTTTGACGGCAATTGTGGTTTTGCAACGTCTGGTGGAGGTAACAGTGATAGTGATGGTGGTTGTCATGACGACAATGGTGGGTGGGATGGGATGGGGTTGGATGTCTGTTATCAATTATTTGGTCGATTGTAACTCATAATTGGTTAATTTGTAATATGTGACCTAAAAATTGTGACTGTAACTCACAATTGATTAAGTTGTGATTGAAAAATTAATCGTGATCAATTAATCTAATAATTTGTAATGAATAAATGAGTTGTGACCAATAAAAGTTTTGATTTTGTGATTAATGAATAATCTGTGACTTATAAAATTTATTATTCGTGATTGAAAAATAATATGTGAACTATAAAGTTTTTGATTTGCAATCGAGAAATAAGTTGTAACCAATAATTTGATAAGTTGTGACTAAAAATTAATTTGTAACTAAATAATTTTTTGATTTGTGACCGATGAACAAATTGTGACCTACAAATTTTTTGAATTATATTGTAAAATAATTTGTGAATAAAACTTCTGATTTGTGATCAGAAAATAATAAGTGATTAATTAAATTATTAATTTATGATCAAGTCGTATAAATTTGTGACTTAAATATATTTTATTAATAAAATAAATAAATAATTAATTAAATTATAAATAAATTTCAACAAACTTATCTTGACTTGAATCTTACTTTTGAAATTTTCCCAAAAAAAATCAGCTATGAGTAAAGAAATACCAATTTTAAATTTTAGTACATTGACGGTACTCTGAGGGTGAGGCGTGGACTTTACATCCACTCTCTCTTGTAGACTGAAACACGCAGAATTCAGTGCGTAGAAATGGTGGATTCGAAGGTGGAGACCATTTCAAGACTTGCTCAATGGAAGATCGAGAATTTCGGGACAACCACCACTTACAAAAGATCCGACCCCTTCAAAATCGGCATGTGGAACTGGTATGTATGTACATGTATATGTGTGTACTGGATGATGATGATGAATCTTAAAGTGTATTTTCGTGATATGCTAGGCAATTATCAGTAGAGAAGAATCGATACATGTATATACGGCTTTTTCCGGAGCCGTCGCGGCTGTCGAAGGAGCAGCCTCCCTTGGCGCGGTTCGTCTTACGGGTCACCACCTCTGGCTCCAATCGAAGACCCTATATATCTCCAAGTATAAATAATTTATGCTTATTTTTACTGCTACTGCTGTTATTATTGTCTATTATAGCTTAATTCAATTTGTTTGTTCATGATTAATTGATTGTCTTTGTTCACCTTTTCTGAATCGATTGGAATGTTTTCTGGTTTACTTCTATTTATTTTTTAAGTAAAAGAAAATTTAACTTTTTTTTTTTTTTGGGCTAAAAGCTACCCTTTAACTTGTACAATTAACTTATTTACTTATAAGTAAACTTTTTAAACTTAGCCTTATGTTTATTCTGTTCATCCTAAGAGGGTTCATGTTCCAGAGTCAAATTGATTGTTCTCTGCGCCATTATATAGTAGAGGAAGTTTTCAAAATTACTCCATCCTTCCCAGACTCGGCTTGCTTTATTGTTCCCAAGTTATAGATCAATTTCCTTGTTGATAGTACAATTGATTTATTATTTTTCTAGTACACCTCAATTTAATATACCTTGTTATCAACAAATAAAAACTACTCCTGTTTAAGTCATTATTTAATATTGGGGTATATTAGGAAAAATATGAGAAAAATTTATATTTTTAATTACATTTTCTTAATATGTGTGAAAATGGGAACAAGCCTATCTTTGTTGGATGGAGGGAGCATTACTATGTGCAAAGTGAAACACCGCCTGAGGTTTAATTGTTTTGTTTAAAAGACCTTGTTTTCGTATAAAATATCTTAGATATCTTTGTTATATACATCCTTCTTTAAGTCAAATCGACACTAGAAGCACGTTTGGAAAGTGTTAATATACGGTTTAAATTATAATTAGATATAAATGATTGGTAGATAAGTAGGTAGTTCATGTCAATAAAACGCTGCTTGAGTGTTTAGAACATAAGCCAAACATAGGCATGATCCCAGGAAAGAAGATTAAGTTGGGGAAGAAAATGGATGAAGGGTATTTTGTGATTTTGGAAAATATAAAGTTGGTTATTAAAAGTTTGTATAAGTTCAGCTATTACCATTATCTCTTTCCAATGAAGTACCTCTATATAGTAACTAGCTCATGAAAAGCTGTGATTTGCTAAGTTTCATTTGATTCAGTTAATGTGTTTTTAAAACATTGAATAGATTGTTTTGATTTTAAAGTGAGATAACATTGCCAGGATAACGAACTATGTAGAAGTGCTTATTTTCTATGCTGTAGGATGCTAAACTTACTTGATCTGGTAAATCAATATACTGACTATAGAAATGATTTGGAAAAACTAGAGGTGAAAATGTGAAATCCATCAGTAATTGTAAGTTGTAACTTTCAAACTCAGAAAGCTGTTGTCTTGTGCTTATTCTCATGTCAAATGCTGTTTGGTATTCAATATTGGAGACAGTCTAATGTACAAAATTTTAACTCTTTTTTTCATATTTGTTACTTGCTAATGCTATTTAATCCACTTTGCTGAACATGCTAAAAATATATAAATCTAATGCGATAGCTATAAACATTATCTTGCTGCTATACGTACTCATGCAGCCTTTTGCTGTAGTTCATGAGAGGTTGCTTCGAACAAGTGATGACTTTGCCTGGCCTGTTGAATCTACCTTTCACGGTCGATTTGTCATTGACGTTGAGTTTCTGGACTTGAAGATCTACCCTCTAAATGTGAGTCTTTCTTAAATTTTCCATCGCATGAATATTATGTTGTGCTTAAACCCTTAGGGGAAAGATCCTGAGAGTTCTTGCCTTATCTGAGATACCACGTCAACCCATTTTTGACTTTTTGTTCTCTTTTGAAACTAGCAAGTCTAGCATCAGCATAAATATTGACAAGATTGGACGGGACAACTAACAAAATTTTGACCCTTTTTTTTTTTGTTTTTTTTTGGTGGGGTGCTTTCCCACTTTCCAGAACAGTCCAATCCATTTTACCAAACACGCTATATGAGATTTCTTGAGATGCATCTCTCTCTCTATTTAATACATGGTTCTATCTTACTGTTAAACTTTAGGGTGGAGAAGGCAGTTCTATATGGCCGAGTGATGGTATGATGCAATATCTAGCAACTCAAAGCACTCTCAGATGCCTCTCTCGCATGCTTGACGAGTCTATCCATGCTGATGTCACCATTAACACAGCTGATGGAACGCTGCAAGCCCACAAGGCCATTCTTTCTGCAAGCTCTCCAGTGTTCTGCAGCATGTTCTTGCACGACCTCAAAGAGAAAGAATCCTCGACAATCAACATAGAAGATATGTCAACAGAGTCGTGCATGGCCCTTCTCACTTACTTATACGGGACGATAAACCAAAAAGATTTCTGGAAGCACCGATTGGCTTTGCTGGGCGCGGCAAACAAGTATGACATTGTAGACTTGAAGGATGCTTGTGAGGAGAGTCTTCTAGAAGATATTAACTCGGGAAATGTCCTTGAGAGGTTGCAAGAGGCTTGGCTTTACCAGCTTAATAAACTGAAAGGCAGCTGCTTGATGTACTTGTTCGATTTTGAGAAGATTTATGATGTTCGGGATGAAATGAGCGATTTCTTCAGGCAGGCAGACAGAGAACTGGTTGTCGAGATGTTTCATGAAGTGCTCGCAGTTTGGAAACCAGCATAAATCACCGCTCCAAAGGTTTTACCTGGTATAAACAACATATGTTGTCGTACAATGTGCTAGAGTTGTAGTCGCATTCAATGTATAGTATTATTGACGATGTGTGTGGTGTGTTGCATTGCGAAAACTCGGGTTATGTAAAAGAACAATTATGTTACATGTATAGGGATTTTTGTCAGACAATCTGACATTTCCAAATGGCACAATTTCAGTGTTGTTTGGACAAAAAAAACTTCAAACCAGCCAATCCCGAGTTGTCACTTCATTATCTGTAAAAATTCTTGTACATTTCTTCCGTACAAGAAGCTTCATAAAAGAGTGTTTTGTGCAAATACATAATTTTGAATTGTGCTTGCTTAATGAAGCGTGATTCAAATTCAATTTATGTTCAACTTGAACAAGCGCTAAACGCAGAAGATGCCAAGTCTCAGTTATCAGATTCAAACCTTCATCTATATTAAAGAATAGGATGACAACGTCAAACATTTCGATGATAGGGTAAAAGACGAAAGTAACCCCTGTGGCTTCAGCAAGGGTAACAGGGGAACTAAGGACAGGCAGGAGGGTAGATTCGTTCAAAAATGTACACAAAAAAATGGAAGTGTACAGTCATCTTTTTACAAGGGGTGTGTGTTGAGACCATCTTCCTTCCACTTGGGTCGATCAAAGTTCTCCAGACACTCCAGTCGGCAACTTCCTAACAAGGGAATTCCGAATAGCAGAAATGCACAGGAGCTTATGTTGTGTGAAGGAGCAATAGAAGAACTAATAGAATCTACTTGGACGAATTTTAAGCTGATTTTTCGAAGGGTAATCTTTTAGATCCTTGCTCGATTGCATCTCTCCATAACCTGTATCTTACTCCCAGCTTATCATAGGACACTGGCCAATTCCAAACATTTGCACCGTTGAGCATGCGCTCCTGCTGACCAAGAACAAGCCTCAGATCCTCGTTCAAAACCTGTATATTTAGATTTTAACATTAAGAATTCAACTAGAAAATACAGAGTATAGAAACAGACGAAAAGAAATCCATTGATCCAAGAGTAATGGCTTAATTTATGGTATGAAATGAGGAGAAATTCCCAATGACTTGTTGGAAATAGGCCAAACATGCTGGACATGTAGTTATAACTCGAAGACAAGAAACTCTTGCAGTATGACAATAATATTATTGAAGGTGATTCTTCACAAACAAAAGCTTTTACCTTTTCAGCGAAATGTCTCCATAGGTATTGAATGAAAGGAACGTGCTTTAATACAGGAGCAAAGTCGAGCGACATTCTGTACAATAGCCTCGTCTTCTGTCTTGATGAAGGTAAGCAAACATGAAGTTGGTGAAGATGAGTTGAACACTCTTTAGTATTTTGCCCTTCTAATTTCCCAGGTTTTGAGATCCCAATTGTTGATAATACCATACAAGGTGGTCTAAATTCCATATCTATTGGATAGGGATCCCAGTATCCTTGTAGACCGGATGCAGGAGTCAAAAATTTCACCAAGCTGTGGATTCAAATAACAAGATCAAAGAATATGTAAGTTTCTCTTTGTATTGCAATAAGATGGCTTCATTTGATTTGAATTCTTAGCATTTAAATGATATCTGTATTCAAACTTTCGATAAATTCTTAATGAGTCGAGCTGTGTGTGAAAATGAAAAGTAAGCCTCCTAATGAACAAGTTTCTACTTCTTTCATTTTAGTTTTTTGATATATTCACAACTCGTCCACTTGAATAAAGGTCAATAGTCAGGTAGTGCACTCGATTGAGAAATCAACTCGTCAACTCAACCAAGGGTCGAGTGGATACAACACTGTCACCAGAAGTCTATTTCTAATAAGGGTAAAATTAACATGTTATGAATTAAATAAGAAATATTACCTTGAAAGAAAAAGAAAGCAATTTTTTTCACTTAAAAAAGGTCTTTCAAAAAGCTCTTAAAATAAAATGATGTTAAATTATTATTATTATTATTTTTTTTTTCATTTTTCCTGAAGCTGTAGCAAAGGTACTAAAAGGAAATAGCTGAAATTCAACCTGGGAACGCTCCATCCCTTAGCAAAAGTCGAAGTGTGGGTAAAAGGAGCATGGGCAAGATCCAAAAGGTTGTCCAGAAGTAATCCATGTTCCACTGGGAGTTCCATCACGATCTGCATTGAGGGTGAACATCTGTAATTCTGTGTTCTTCTTCGTTTGATATTTCTCCTTTTCATTTACTATTGCTCTTAGATTAAAGAATAAGGTTTAATCCACTACAAACTAGTTCGACAACATATTCAAATGCAGGTACTACATACCTCAGCATGTATTTGAAATCCCGAAGGAGGCAGTAAAGAAGGAAGGTTAGCTGTAGGCGGATCATCTCCTGGCCAAATCCATATCATTCCCTCCTGCTCAAAGCACGGTAATGCTCTGATTTTTACATTAAGTAATCTAGTTGATGGCATTTTCTCGCATTTTCCATCAATCGAGTATTCCCATCCTGACATCAGTGATTATGTGAAAAGAATCAGTGTCACCATATCAGCTATAACTACAGTATGTAAAAGGTTAATCGAGATATCCTTATCTAACCATGATAAGGACACTGGATGCGACCCTCGTTTATTGAACCCAGATGAAGTGGGCAGGCCCTATGAGCGCAAGTATTCTGTACACATCCAGGTTTTCCATCCTTCCCACGAAAGATGACCCAAGGTTCCTCGAAGCAATCTATTGGAACCTGTGAAAATTTTCGAAGCTATTATTGGCGAGAAAATAACAGTACTGTAGTTGACAGTATTAAGGAAAAGATGAAGGTAAAATCTAGTCCATGTACTGTCAGTGTGTGCCAAACATGCCCAATAAATCCACTAGATTCCAGCCTTCAAAATTGACAACTAGGATGCCCTAATACCACCATTTCAGTAGAACACGTAATAATAAACCTTAATCTATGAGGAAAGAAAAAGAACTGACGAAACGAAAAGCAAGAAAGTAAATAAGAACAAGTTTGAATTGTTTGGACCAAAACAGCCTAGTCCAGTAACAAAGAAAAAATTTATAGACCAAGATACTGAGAGTGTTCTGTATATATATGCAAGATACCTAAATGGTACACATCAATGAGAATAAAAGAGGAAATACAAGTTCCTATCAAATACACTCACCATGGTATCATCCTTCAGATCTGCAGAAAAAGCAACAGGGTACCAAAAATTCTTCAAACGGGCATGGTAAGGTTGGACAGGACCGGACACATTGAGGCTCCTTCTCGGCTGCCTGCTTTTGACAGTGTCAAGAAATTCTGTTGAAGTGCTCGGGGTAGGGGTTGACACGTTAGATTCCATCGTGTTACTGTCTTGCAATAGCCTATCATTGACCAAAGTTTCCATGTAAGCTAGCTTGTCCAAAGCAGTGCTAATCCTTGCTTCTGAAATATGTACCTGTACGTGTTTAAGAGTAAGAAACAGTTCATTAACTATGACAGATTTTTATCGTTTTAAGTTTATCGCTTTTTTAACAAAAGGCCAGAATTCCCAGAAAGATGCTAATGAAACTGCTTGACAGACTAAAAATAGGCGAATGAGTCTTTGATGGGCAGTAAAAAATTGCAGACCAACGTGCCTGGTTTTCCCGGTAGGCTGTGACTCATATGCTCAGTCAGACACCAACCATTGATTCCTAACAACCCCATAGATTCTTCTATGATTTGACTAGATCTTCTAGATTGTATTAGAATTTTTGGGCCTCGAGCAACTGGACTTAATAGGAAAAAGCCCTTAATATTGTATTAGTCCAATATATAGTAGCTTCCAACCTACCTGATTGTGAGCTACTGCCAGCTCTTCTTGCAACTCTGCAAGTTCCTTCTTCAGGGTTCCAATCGATTTGTATTCACGGGCTAGCGGGTTCAATACTTGCACAACCTATGTTAATATGAAGTATGAGAACGTTGAAATTGAATGGGGTGATGAAAATTTGAGAATGGTTCTTCTAGAACAACTGAATTGACATGGAAAAATGTACAAGATTCAGCTGATTGACTGATAAGTTTATAACGAAGTAAAGCATAATTTAGTTGATCAACCTTTTCGTGCAAAAGCATGATTGTAAGAACATCTTGCCGAGCCTTCCAATCACAGTACTGTATATCATATCTAGCCACTTCTAAAGCTTGATACACGTCCAAGAACTTGCCTTTACAATGAGGGACTTTAGACCTCGGATCTTCTACTTCAAAAATGGTCGTCCACAGGTTTTTTCTTCCAACCAACTCGCCTTCCTCCCCAATGATAGCTGACACTGCAAAGCCTCCCCTCACAACCTGAGTTAACAAATGCACCATGATTCAGCAAAGTATTAATGTGCATTCTAATACAGTGATAGGATGTTTGATAAACATTTCATACCGTGGTCAATGATGTTAAAGAAGAAAACGAGTTAAAAATTATGTATGTTGTACGAATACAACTCATTTATTCTTCCAAATTTTGCAGTCACGTATAGAGTTTTGGAAATTACTTGCCTGGTTTGTGAAGGAATTATAAATAATTTAATCTATAAATAGATATAAATTAGTGGTGAATAAGTGTATAGTACAAATGTGTAATTAAAAGTCAAGTTTAGTTTAGAAATTTTACCAAACAGAAGCTTACATTTCTATAGTTGCGAAATTACAGGTCGACTACAAACAATCAGATGATTCAGATCAACTAAATTACCAAAAGACAAATACCCACCTAAATACACTAGATCAAGATCAAGATTTCCACGGATAAAGTCAAAATTTTTTAAAACAAATCCCATTACAAAAATTAATCAAGAAACAAGTGAAAACAAGAACCTTTTTGGTGTTAACCTTTGATGAACGACACAAAGAGGTAGGAATGGAAAGCGCAGCAGCAGTAGCAATGGCGGACATGGCTGAAGAAGTGGTGTAGTTTCAAAGTTGACAGAAACTATATGGAGAAAGAAAATTGTGAACGTTTTAGTGAGAGATTTTTGTTTTGTTGATGAGAGGTTAGTGTTGTGCGCAATCTGAGGTAGCCTCCCAAACGTTGCCATGTGTAAATTCGGGAATTCCTGTGCTTAATTCGTGGCTGCTCTGCGTTTACACATTCTGTCTTGTTTTTTTCCGCGTGCTGTGACTTTTGTCGGGTGATTTCATATCTTCTTGAGTGCCACCTCTCGGATGGTCTAGATATCTTTGGCTAAGCTCAAAAGTTAACTTATAAGTAGAAAGTAAGTTTTAATTTTTTGCGTTGGTTAAAGTTAAGAAAGAGGAAAAGGGTTAAAAAAGAACAAGAGAGAGAAAAATGTATTTAAAAGAATAATAATAATGGAGACCAAGCAAGGGTTAAATCATATATGTCGTCAAGTGTAACGTATCACCCAACAATGTAATTTATCATGTCAAGTCATCAACAATTAGAGAGTTAGGAATTGGGGATTGAATACATTCGAATTAGAAAATGTAATTTGACTTTAATATTGGCTAAAATTGTTGGCTTAAATTGTATGATAAACCTAGGGATGTTATTGGATTTTACGTGCAATATTAAAGAGATGAAAAAGAAAATCAACACAAGAATTTACATGGTTCAACGGTGTACCTACATCCACGAGAGCGAAGCGGGGATATCTTTATTCAATAGTGAAAAATAGTTACAACATATTATTTATACTAACCCTAACTTGGGCCTATATAAGACTTTAAGACCCGTAAAAAAAATATCCCTGTACCATATCGCGAGGGCATTGTCCCCACATCCAAAACCCGTGTTCCACTTTATATGAATCACATGTACAATAAATGTCAATTGGGCTCGTCAGCTCGGACCGCCCGTAACTTGGCTCGGAAAAGCCCGAGCCGGCTCGGATGAACCTGGCTGAGCCCGAGCCAACCCGTGTACCTCGTCGGCTCGAGCTAGGGCAAAGTAAAAAAAAAATAATAATAATAATAATGATAAACATATGGAGCAGCTAGCTGCCTGGCCTTTATCAAAGGCAACCAACTGCTGTCTTAAATTTAAGCAGTGGTTGACTGCCATTAATTCAAGGCAACAGGCGGCTGCTTTTCTTAAGGTAGCACTTGGCTGCCTAAAAATAGGCAGCGGAGTACCTTTAAAAAAAAGAAAGGAAAAAACGAGCCTGCTCAGCCCGACTCGGCTAGGTTAGGCCCAATCCAAAAGCTAGGGCCTAGACTAATTTTTTTGGCCGAGGTTCGGTTCGGGCTCGCAAAAAAGTTCAGATAATTTTACTCGAGCCTTGAGTTTCAACTCGTGAACTGGCTCGACTTGACTGGTTGACATTCAATGCTTTTGCTGAGTTACTGTATAAATAACATGTTTTGGTGACTCTATGTCACTTGATGACATCATATAGGATTTACTTTAATAATTTTAATTGAATGATTGTTGATGCAGTATTTAAAAACTTGAGTGGCTATGATCATAAGAAAATAGTTTGAATGATTATTAAGTAATTACTCAAAATGTAACGACAATTTACGTAATTAATCCATATATGAAATATTCTGGCTATAAAGTATGAATTTTTCTAAAAATTATATTAATCATGTTTGAAAAAAAAAAAAAAAAACTACATAAAAAAACTTTTAAGGAAGGTCTTAGAAGACTAGTTATAAGGAAAGATTCTAATCCATATACCAAAACCATTTACCCCGTGATTCTGTAAGACCTGGCTCACTCTGTCTGACTACGCTAATCAACCCCTATCACGTTTAGGTTTTGATCTTCGGAAAGACTTTTGAATTAGCCAAACATGCTAGCCGACTTTCTTTCTACATTGGGCATCGGAATAAGAAGGAACGTTTGAGTTCAAATTCTCACGTCAAATTATTTTTAGAATAATATTAAATCATCGCTACAACAAAAACTATTTTTTGCAACAGTTAAAAAACAATGCGAAAGACTTTTCACAATAGTCAAAGAACATTGCAAAAGTAGACATTAGCAATATGTTTTTAAAAAATATTACTAAATTTCAATTATGTTAACCAATGACAACATACATTTATTAGAATGTTGCGATGAATCCCTTTAGCAACATCCAATTAAGGAATGTTGCATATTGAATATTGCAAGAGACTATTTTTATTGTAGTGCCTATATATTAACGTCACAAATTCCACCCTATCATATTTTGACTGCACTTCAACTGTATATTGTGCTTGAAGTGTTAGATGTTTATAGTCGCTGATAACATTATTATTTCCATCGCTATTACAGAAATGTACATGAAATTTTTTATTGTTCATACTATTTGTATAGTAAAATAGTCTTAGTTTGAATAATTATTGCTAAAATAGTATGTACTATGTCGACATGGCATTCACTCATTCAACTCAACAAATATGAATGTATGATTATCAGTACTAGCAGAGCACTAGAAAAGGCAAGTTCAATTGTTCAAGTGTATAATTGTTTATTTATTCTACACGGAATCCCTGCTATAAATACCTTTTAACTCATTTATTCCTGTAAGTGCATTCTCTAAATTATATAGAAATTATGTTTAATTTTAGCCAAAACCCCATTGCTCTATTTTCGGTACTCGAGCTCACTATCTAATGTTCATTTTGGATATTTCTAACAATATTCGGACTCCTGACATTGTTAAGAGGCTCCTAGCAACTTTGGTGTCAATGACTCAATGGCATTGAGCTAAGTTCAAAGCATACTATTGAATTGTTAAGAGAAATCAATTTAAATTTTTCATCGTATCAAGTAGACTATCTCATAACATGGTTTGTAAAAAATAATAATAATAATAATAATTTGTAAAAAGGTCGTCTCTAACATTTTCAAAAAGTGGAAATAGGTTTTGTACCTTTAATTTTTAGCAGTGTCAACCCAAACTTTTATAAAGAACAAAATACAGAAATTTCTACTGAGGTTTCGACGATTTCAAAAAGACACTCCTCCCCTTTTGAATATTACACAAACCTCATTTATTTTAAGTTTTAGATATAGCATGCATTCCATGAGATTTACGACATTTTTAAAGACACGTCTTCATTTTAAAAACTTATACAAATCTTCCTTATCTCAAGTTTTGAATAATGTAAACTTCTCTTAGTCGCTTTTACTTTACATGTTAGTACAAATAATAGTGATACTGCTTAAAATACCCTTTCAAAATTGTTTTTAATGTCGTGGCTCCTTTAATAATAATGTAATATCTAAAATATCATTTTAATACTTCTAACTCAGTCAAAAACAAAATACTGTTTAGATCACCAATTCTTAATAATTTTCAACATTTAATTAATTTGAATAATTATATTGATAACACGAGATGGAGGAATTCTAGGTGTTATTTCGTCTAAAATGAGTATTCAGAAATTTAATATTTGTGAGCGAAATGCTTTTCTTCTTTTAAAGTAATAAACATGAATACATTTTCAAATATTCATATATTTTCAAATATATAACTAATTTTTATGTTTTTTTCTGTAACAAAGAATTGGCAAGACAATGATGTCATTGAATGATTGAGAGTTAATTGTTTCAATGATCACTATATTTATGTCTGTGTTTTCGATTGCTCATTAAAGTTTAAAATGTCAAATTTTGACCACTGAATTTTGGAAGATGTTGTACATTACTCACTAACATAACTTCCGTCTCAAATCTCTAACGAAATTGGTAACGTGGCTGACGGAATGCACACGTGTCGCCCCATTACAACGTTAAACTTTGATATGATCAATATTTGGCCACTAAATTTTGAAAAATATTTTATATTGCTCACTGAACTTTGAAAACGTCGAACTTTGGCTGCTAAACATTAAAAAATATTTTCTATTGCGCACTATAAATTTGGATTTAACAACATATTTATTTAATAAAATATTTTACATGTAAACTCAAAAAATTTCTTAACTTTTTTAATCACACATTCTTCAAAAAATTACTATTTAAAAACTCAACCATCTCAAATTTTAGTAGCCAAAATTCAAATATCTCAAAATTCAGTAACCAAAATTTGATCACCTCAAAGTTTAGTGAGTATGGTCAAGTTTTTGACAAAAAAGTTTGAAAAAGTCTTCTATGGCTCATAATAAATTTGGATTTAATTAAAATTCGTGGTTAAAATTTGGATTTGATTTTATGTAACAACAAACAAATTCATTGTGTGTTTTGTTGTAAAATTCAAATATTATAAGGAAAATAGCTTCAAATTCTAAAAAAATTAAATTTAATGTTAAATTAACTACTGTGTAATTGAATAATCATTTCTAGTGGTATAAACAATGCTTGCAAAGCTGTACAAAAGAAATGGCAATGAAACGCACAATATATTTATTATAAAAATTTAATCAAATTCGATTTTATTTTTTTTAACAATGAATTTTAGCCCCTGTTTGATGGCCATTATTGTAAATAATATAAAAAAGAGTTCTAAAAATAAGAATTTTTTGAACAATATGTGATTAAAAAGTTAGGAAAAATTTTGAATTTACATGTAAAATATTTTATTGTATAGATGTGTGGTTAAATCCAAATTTATAATAAGCAATAGAAGACATTTTTAAAAGATTAGTGGCCAAAGTTCGACGTTTTTGGAAGTTCAGTGACCATATTTCGACTACCTCAAAATTTAGTGAGCAATAGAAAATATTTTTCAATGTTTAGTGGCCAAATATCGATCATATCAAAGTTTAACAATGTAATGGACGCCACATGTGCATTCCTTCAGCCACTCACCAATTTTGTTAGAGATTTGAGACGGAAGTTATGTTAGTGAGTAACGTACAATATTTTTGAAGGCTCGGTAACTAAAGTTTGACATTTTAAATTTTAATGAGCAATTGAAGACATAAACCTAAATTCAATTATCAAAATTCAATATTTTTTCGATGATCAAAATTCGATATTTTAATTTTCTGTGAACAATAAAAAATATGGTACTAAATTCAGTGGCATAGGATCAATTAACTCAATGATTGATCAAGTGGAGTTGAAATTTCTCGTTATCAAGGGAC